ATCTCCGGCCGCGCGGTGCGATTTCGCGAGAAGAGATATGGACCACTGCTCACAGAGGAAGAAGGTCGGATCGTGGAGGTGGAAGATTTAGGGAGTCGGCTAATAGTGGACGGCAACTCGTACCCAGAGGAAAAAAATGAGGAATATGGCGGTGTGGTATCCGTGTCTTTTTTAAGGGCACGGCCCCCTATGGGGGGCAACCCAAGCGACACAAGCGAGTAGCTCAAAAAGTTAAGCCAGCGGCGGTGGGCAGCGAGCGATCGACACTGTAAGGGGTATCAGAAGAAGAGACCGCGAAAGAAATCAAAGAAAGAAAGAAAAAGGAGCCACAATGCCTAACGGAAGAGAGGATAGAAGGGATGGACATCGGAGATGGAAATCTGACCCCACAGGAGCGAGGACGTGTGATACAAATTCTGAAGACATATGATAAGGCAATAGCTTTCAGCGACGCGGAGCGCGGTAGGATTGACCCTCGATACGCTAAGCCAGCGAGGATTTATACGATTCTACATGTTCCTTGGAATGACGCAGGATGGAAATACGTCCAGAAGGAGAAGGAAGAAGTTATCACTTTCCTGAAAGAAAAGATGGTTTCCCACGTTGTGAAGCCGTCTGATAGCGCTTATGCTAATCGATGGTTCTTCCTACGAAAGCCAAATGGCAAGATCCGATGGATCCAGGACCTTCAGAAGGTAAACGCAGTGACGATAATGACGTGGGCTCCGTGCCACACGCCGATTTACTGGCAGAAGGCGCAGCAGGTAGGTCGATCTATTCGGTTTGTAATCTGTTCTCACGCTATGATGAGGTACCGCTTGACCCTAGGGACAGGCACCTCACGGCTATGCATACGCCATTGGGACTAATTCAAATTATGGTTGTCCCTATGGGTTGGACTAATGGGGTAGCCGTTTTTCAGAGAGCCATGGTASCCGTCCTCAAGGACTTCATCCCTGATAAGGTTGAAGTTTTTCTGGATGACTTTCCTATAAAAGGGCCAGTAGACAGGGATGAGATAGAGGTTGTACCTGGAGTTAGAAGATTCGTCGAGCAACACCTAACAGTTATTTGCGCGGTACTCGAGCAGCTGGACGATGCGAATTTAACAGTCAGCGGAACAAAGAGCCGATGGGCCGTCTCGACTATTAAGATTTTGGGTTTTATCTGTGACTCGAGAGGACGCCGAGCAGACCCGGCGAAGTTAGACAAACTTCTGAACTAACCCTCACCGTTACATAGCCCAACCGATGTCCGGCAGTTTCTAGGAGTGGTCGGTTACTGGCGTATATTCATACGGGGGTATGCGGAGAAGGCTGAGYCATTGAGGTTACTCCTTCGAAAGACTGAAAACTTCTATTGGAATTCTTCGCAGGAACTTGCTATGCAAGAACTTCAAGACAAATTTAAGGAAGGAGGACGCGTGTTGGGTATGTCATTCTTTGACGATAAGACCGAGAGACACTTCATAGTATCCACGGATGCTGGACCATGTTCAGTGGGTGGTTTGCTGTCTCAGAAGGACGCTGGAGGGAAGGAAAGACCGTTAAGATTTCAGAGTAGGACACTTAATACGGCTGAGCTTAACTACAGTCAATTCAAGAAGGAAGTGTTAGTTGTTCTCACGTGTCTAGACACGTTCAGACACTATATCTATGGGCGACGGTTCATCTTGAGAGTAGACCCCACCGCGGTTGCCTCTGTCCTCAAGAAGGACTTTAGCCTGACGGACCCGACCATCGCCCGATGGTTAATACGGATTCGGCTATACGATTACACGATTGAGAGAATATCTGGTACTAAAAATGTCGTGGCAGATGGACTTTCACGCATCCCTCTCGAGCGTCCGATAGTAGCTGGGGCTCTGACAATGGCAGAGCCGAGACGCGCTGAGAGATTTCTTATTAATCTTTACGAGGGCAAGTACCGAATGATCGGACTACACCTGACGGGAGAGGAGAGTCAAGATTCAGATATCCGGAGGCAAGCAGCCCAGTACTGCCTTAGAGCGGGCCACCTTTTCCGAAGGCCAGTAGGGTCGGGAATGCCCTTACGAGTAGTCTGTGATTCTGAGGAGAGACAGACGATAGTTGCGGAACTTCACGACGGGGTAGTCGGAGGACACAGGGGAGTTAAAGGAACCTACGAAAAGATACGTCGGCTGTACTGGTGGGATGGACAGTATAAGGACGTCGAGAGGTACTGTATGACATGCGAAGAGTGCTAGAAGAGAGCTCTTGGGAAATACAAAGAGCCACTTCATCCATCCTATCCGACCAGACCAGGAGAGAAGGTACACATCGATCTAGTGAAAATGCCGAGAGGGGTAGGCAATATGAACTACGTCGTGAACATACGAGACAATTTCACTGGGTTCGTGGACGGTAGACCTATCAGGAGTAAGGCGGCAAAGGAAGTAAAGAACTTTGTCCTAGAGTACTTATCTAGGTATGGTTGTGTCAGCAAGATAGTGATGGACAGAGGGGCGGAATTCCTAGCCGACGAGGTTCAGAGCGTGTTTAGGAGAGCTGGTGCGAGAGTTTCGATAGCCACCGCCTATCACCCACAGTCGAACTCCCCTGTAGAGAGGGGACACCAGACTCTGATAGCGTCACTGTCCAAGTGGTGCAAGGGTAAAGACAGTGATTGACCACGATATTTTCGATGCGCAATATGGGCGGACAACGTCACGGTCCGGGCTAGTACCGGATACCCACCGTACACCTTGTGGTTTGAACGACATTCTCCGCTTCCCATAGAGTTTCACGTCGACAGCTGGACAACCGTCCACTGGGCGGAGGAGATGTCCAGAGAGGAACTCTTAGCTGCCCGAACGAGACAAATAGCCTACGGTTTGGAAGATGACCTCATGACAGCGGCAGATCGTCTGGTAGTGGAAAGGGACAAGGGTAAAGAGAGATGGCATAAGAACGTGCGAATCAGGAAAGAGAGGGTGAGCGTAGGAGATATGGTCCTTCTCTACGATGCAGCGCTGGAAAGGACCTGGACCGGAAAACTCGCCAACAGATGGATGGGACCTTACAGAGTGGTTGAGGCACTCGACTGGGGTGCATATATGATAGCAGAATTAGACGGATCCAAGTGGAAGGACCCAGTGGCGGGTGCAAGGTTAAAGCTGTTTAGGCCCAGGCCCGCGTCCATCTTATCGCTGACGAGCCCGAAAGGGAAAGCGAAAGCCAAAATGGAAGATTGAGCCCCCTTAAGGCAATTTGGGGCAAGGGGGAGTTCCAAGAAAAGGAAAAGAATAGATAAGAGAAAGGTCAAAGGGTTAGCTTTAGGAAGAGAGAAGAGATGGTTATTCGTGCTCAAGCGAGCTAAACGGAGAGTTCGCGTTAAACGTACTGGCGGGTCGACACCCTTCTCGAGGCAAAGACAGAAGAAAAAGAGGATCGTGCCGGGGCCAAAAACCAGAAAAGACAGGAGAGTCAAGAAGCATCTTCTTAGCTCCAGGACTCATAACAAACTGAAACATAAGACAATTGAACGCACACGTGGGCGACCTTTACGGGCCATCACCCTGAAGCTCATCCGCTTTGTCTGACGTAAGTTGCTAGGGCTCGACGGGGGCGTCGAGAAGTGGTCCGGGCTAACTGTCAGGCGGCCACAAGCAGTGCGCCGCCTGAAATCTACGGTTTTGGGATTTAAGCGGGAAGACGAGTCTGAGTTTTGACGGTACTCTGGTTAGACCAGGTAGCGGAAATTAGGGGAGCTCAGGGCGCCCTTGATTTTGGGCGCGCTGAACCTTACGGGTAACCTTCAAGGATGGCAAGATGGGTGGTCGCGCTCGGCACATCAACGGAACGTCTTTTCCGGCCGTTCAGAGGGGTAGACCCGGATTGGCCTGCCACGGAGAGGTATCGCGGGAACTGACCTCGCAGCCACCTTTTTGGCGGCATACGACCAGGGCCGAAATGAGGCCTCAACTTTTTGTCTATTTTAGTACCATGATTAAAGATGGGGAAGAGGGATTACGATTAGTAGGGGAGAAGGGAAAAATATAATATCCCTTAATTTCTTTATTTTTTACGGCATTTAATTCGAGGGGGAATACCCTTGTTATTTTATGTTCCCGGCAATGAAATTAAAAACATAGTAAAAAGATTAAAAATTGTAAAAGAGAAAAGAAACAAAAGGAATTCGG